TTCCCCAGCCAGCCATGCTGGCTGGGGAATTCTGGGAGTTGAAGTCCACCTATCTTCAAGTTGTTGAGGTTGAGGAACCCCGCTGTAAAGCATTTCAGACAAATGGCTATCCAGTCTATTTGACAACCACCAATGAGGCAACCTATTCTACTGGTTGACAGGTCTTATCACCTGGAAATTCCTCCCAGTACCTAATCTGAACCTACTTCCCCATAGTTTTATCTTAGCATGTTGTATGAACGAGCTGCTGTGGTTTGTGAACCATAGTTCATGGCTCAGTGGGTGAGACAAATGCAGCCAATTGTGATTTGCTGAAAAACTATCATTAGCAAATCATGGTTTGGTGTGTCCCGTGAGCACATAGCCTTAATATGGTTTGTTTGGCCTAGCCTTTGGGGTGAAGCCAGCCAACATGGGTTGTTAAATAAGCTATTCATCAACTCTGTTTGGGTTAATTTTTTTATCAATTGATAATTGCATGATGGCATATAATAGAAATCGCATAATAACGTGTCAATATTCAGCACTCTTTACCGAACATCAAAGGGTGGGTTGTTATATTACAGCTGTCACATCTGGGCTGCAAGAAACTAGAAAACCACTAGATGGGAGTGGGGAGTTCAGGTTCTCTGTATCTCCTTGCTGCCACCTAGCCAATGCTATGATATGGTAGCTCTAGTGTGGGGGCATCATTTCAATTCCTTCTTGTTTAAATTCCCATTGTGAAATCGATAATAAAATTCAATCCAACTTTTGGTTCATTGTCTATAATACCACTGGGTAAAACTTCACTCCATTTCTACAGAGGGTATCAATGTCCTCCAATTTGGTAGGGGAAGGAAGCCTTATGTCAGTTTGACATATTTCAACATATGATGATGATTACTATTATTTCAATCTAAAAGAAAATCTCCTCCTCCTCTCTGGGATTTTTTTTTTTTTAAGCAGCTTTTGTCATCTTCTGCAATCTGGGGGAATTAAAAGGTGGGGAGGGTGCAGAGCGTTTGAAAAGCTTTGCATCAAAAGTAGGCAAAACACAAAATTCTTGCATATTCACTGCAGCGCTCTGCCATCGCTAAAGAGCCTGTAAGGAGTTGTAATTTTCAAAGCACTTGACACAACATTAATTTATTAACCCTCCAGACAGGCTTCAACAAAGGATTTTAAGTATTTTGTTCTCTTTTGATAAACAGCCAAAGGAAGGGGGAGGGGGGGAAAAAAGAGGCTTGCCAAAAATCACAGAATGGCCAGTTACAAATATGTTCAATTATGATACCAGCAAAGAAAGAGGCTTTTTTTAAATCCATGGTGAAATGGGAAAAAGGGACGTTCCTCCCCATGCCTGTATTATATCCTCTTCAAAATTGAAGAGCTCCATTGGATTCAAAAAGCCTGTGTTTGCCCAACAGATGCCCCCATTTTAAACCGTGTGTACTCAATTAACCCAATTCTCTCAGGACACATGACACACCATCTTTTAAATTGTGGTGGCTGGGTCCCCCACCCCACAACATTAAAACCAAGCTAGTTTTGCAATTGGGTGAATGATGGTAGGAGTAATTCCCACTATTTTTTATTGTGTAAATGAGCGTGGCAATGCTCCTCAGGTCTAATAGGATGCAACAAGCAGAGTGATTAGAAAAGTCAATCACACTGCATAAAATTCCATATTCAGAGCTTTCAAATTAATACAAAAATGTTTTTTTAATTGTCACACTACCGAGTTTTCTTACCAAATTATTTTCTTATTGGAGAAAATTAAACCTTCTAACAGGGGAGAAGGTTGACAGAATGATAAAGAGGCTTAACAGAATGAGGTTGTTGAACTAACTAAATGGAAAAGGAGCATTATGTTTAACACTGATACCAAACTAAAAATACGGTGTTATTTTCACACCCCTTCTTCTGTTTTAGTTTAAATCTACAATCGCTATTTAACCCAAATGAAAGTCTTCAGAGGACTTTGTGGGGGACTGAGGAACTCAAGGCTCTCCAAGCGCTGGATTCCAGCACCCATCATCCCTGGACATAACGGCTGGAGCTAATGGAAACTGGAATCCAATACCTCAAGGCAGCAGATTTGAGAAGACTGTTCTACATCCTGGGAGGTTCAAGGATGAAGCTGATGGAACTCTTGTTGGATGGTAGTTCCCATGTCACCAGCTACCTAGGGCCAACGGGGGGCCAAAATCCAGAATATGGTGGGCCATTTATTGGATTAATTCAACATTCTTATGTACACTTAGGTCCTTTTCAGATTACCTGACGCTAAGCGCTGGCCCTTCAAAGCCCTGGGCCAGCCCACAGGAAGAGTTGAACAGCAGAAAAATTATGGATTAGCCTTGTAAACCTGAAGGTTTGATGGCTCTCCAAATCAATTTGGATGCAGACTCTCACCAACATCAATAGATAATAAGTGCCCTAATTCCTGGCCAGGCTGGTGCTGACCATGTCATGTGAGCCCAACCAACAGTAGGTTAAGCAAGCCATGGTTTGCATGCATTTGGGGTTTATTTTCTACTTATCTTTCCTGTTCATTTCTCTCTTTCAGTATAAATATAGCTGCCAGCTTGGGGGAGGGGGGAGAAGTGCTGTCTGTGAAGTTGAGACACATTGGTCACAAAATCTGAGCCACAAAAAATTAACCTTTAAGGAGTAGCCGGAGCGTTCATTGTTTGGCTGTCAAAGGCTAATCTGGTGTTCGTCTCTGCATGGACCAGCCTTCCTTAAAACGTAACCTTTCACATGTGCTGGTCTACACTTCCTGGCCACTGTGGGCGTTGTAGTTCACCACTTCTGAAAGGCAGCAGATGGGGAAGCCCGTCAGAAAATATGAATTTCTGCTTCAAAATCTTATGATAATGGTCAGACTCAAGAAGATGAGGAGAGTCATCATCCTGGCCCTTTGCGCTGGGGTCATTCTGCCCTCTGATCACGGCATTGACCTACATAAGACTACAGAAAGGAAAACAAAAGAATTATCTGCCCTGGTTTCTAAGAGAAAGATGAAAAAGCTCTTCAAAGCTTTTGCTTGATTCAATGTTTGTTTTCTCCCGGGGGAACCTTTCACCAACTGTTCTGCAATTCAATAATGGAAAGTTAATTGCATAATATTAAAAAAACCAAAAACACACAACATTATTGGTATTATTACAGAGATGAGGACTCAATCAATGCTAACCTCCCCCCTCTTTGTTTAGATCATGTTTCTCCCCTTCACAATAAAATTAAGTTACGCATTAAAAAGAAAACTGGAGATGGCCAATTATTACTTTTGGAAAAAAGAAGTTCCATTAACGTTTCCAGTTGGTACCACTGTAAGGGCTAGCAATTCTCCAACTGGTTTATACTCAAGTACTTTCTAAGCTGGTAATCTGATTGTTATACGCTGTGGGGTAAAGATTGGAGGCTCCGGGGCATATAGAGATACCAAGACACACATGAAACACACATGTAAAAAAACCCAATAATGCTGCAATACCATGTTGTACACGGGGATGCTTCCATTCAGGAGTAACACCATTTCTCCACTAACCCAGTTCATGATGTCCATCTCTTTCAGCCTCTGACATGGGTTCGTTGTACCCGTGATTTTAACAGGTCACTTTTCCCCCCCCAGATTTAGCATTCCTGCGCGTTTTGTGATTCTTCCAAGACTACTGAGACTTATATCTAAGTGGGGCAACTGAGGAAGCTCTGCCATTTCACCTACATAAGGAGTAACATGCACATTCCAACCGTGAGGAGGAACAGTATTCTTTCCTATTTTATCACAAAGGAATACAACAGTCCACCACAGCACCCAAATCTTAAGGGGATCCACAATGGCCACAAATGTATTCATTCAATGTTCAGAGAAGTTCAGAGAAAAAATAAGAGATGACGTAAAAATAAACTTAGGCCATACAGATGAACAGCGTGAGAAAATGCTGTTTCAAAAAATTTAAAAATTCAGGGAGTTTGGGCCGAAAGACATGTCTAAAAACAATGAACCTATATCTTCTCCACGCTCCCTACTAAAACTAAAAACTGGGATGTGAACTAAAAGTTTTCACTAAACTACAGGCAGTCCTTGTTAAGCAACCACAATTGAGACTGGCAACTCCGTCACTAAGCAAAGCGTCACTTAAGAAAAAAGCAAAGATTGTTCCCCCTGCCCCCCGCAGAGCGGAAAGTTTGGAGAGGAAGGGATTACGAGAGATTAAGCAGGCACCCAATGGGGAATATACCGAGCTGTTTGTATAGCATGCATTGCTTTTGATACTTTTGATACGAATCTGCCCCTGTGTGCCTGCTTATTCTCTTGTAACCCCTTCTTCTCCAATCTCTCTGCTCTACTGGGGGCGGGGAGAAAAACAACAGGTCAGGCAGAGAATAACGCATACTGGCTGTAATGGCAATTGCATGACTGAGGGACAGCACCACCATAACTTTGATCGCTGAATGAGGCAGGCGGTAAGCGGTGACCTCCTGTGCAGAAGTCATCAGGAGAGTCATATAAAAATTTAAGAAAAAGGACAGCAGGGTAGCTATAATGAGAGCAGCTTAAAATAGCACAATAAAAATCAGCAGACATAAAATACTTAGTGTACAGGATGTGAAGAATTCTTATGTTAAAATGCACTGTATTTAAGTTCACGAACCTTCCCCTCTAATGCTCCTGAGTATGCTAACAGTGATCCAGACTGATATTTCTCAATGAATTATGTATAATCAAACACAGAATTTCCTGGTATCAATGCTCTCAAATTGAGGCACGGAAGTTCAACTATCACCAGAAGATAGCAGGAAATCATTTCGCCAAGACCTTTGACAAGACATGAAAGAACAATGCCATTTATTAAAGAACAGACCGAGGCTATTTTTTTTTTTAATTGGCATACATAACAAAACAGCACATTTTAAGATCGTGACTGGATTTGGGAAAGGAAGATGGCACTGTACTAGAAGGACACAGACTGAGCTCTGCTCTAATCTATTGTTTAATTGGGAGTCTCTTTCATTTACATTGCCTCATTATTAAAACAAATGGATTTATGGCCTCTGCTCTCCTTGGACCTGATAAGAAAGCAACATGAAGAAACATGGAGATGGGAAATAAAAATAAATCTAAAAAACAAGACAGGACAGTTGGGGGACGTGAATGGAAGATTCTGACAGCAAAATTATGCTAAAATTGTACTTATTGTGGGTGGGGTTGTTTTTTTTTCTCCACCCCTCCACATCTCTAAGCCTCAGTGACAGGATCTACGGGATCATATGTCACAGCAACATCTCAGTGCAAGGCATAATAAGAAAGTTGGGGTGTGTGATCATACCAAGAGAATTTAAGAACCAGAGAGCTATACCAAGGTCCTAAAGTCTTTACACCGGGGTCCCTTCATTTTGCTTTTCGGAGGACTCTCTTATGACGTGAATCCTTTGCGCCAAATCAAGCATAGGCTCTTCTTCAGTCAGTTTACCTTCTTTCTGTCTCTGGGCAAGGATCATGGCCCGCAGCAGTGGTGGGTAGAGAACATATCGGATACTTTCCTCTTCCACAGGAGGGGTAAATTTCTTAAAGGCCTCCTCCTCGTGCTTCGGTACCAACCGCCAATCGTGGTACATTACTTTGTCTATTTCCTTCACTTCACTTTCGGTCTTGCCTAAGAAGAAATTGAGAAGAGGAAGAGAGGTCCAAATAAATGTTGGTGAGTCTTGCCAGCACTGGACACAGGGCAGGGTCAACATAAAGATTTAAAAGCATGCACTGAATGCAGGTTTTGAAGTTTTGTTATAATAAAGCTTCATATAATAATAATAATAATAATAATAATAATAATAATAATAATAATAATAATAATAATAATAATAATAATAATAATAATAATAATAATAATAATAATAATAATAATAATAATAATAATAATAATAATAATAATAATAATAATAATAATAATAATAATAATAATAATAATAATAATAATAATAATAATAATAATAATAATAATAATAATAATAATAATAATAATAATAATAATAAGTATGATATAGCAGCTGCTAGGCCACACAAAACTGTACATTAATAAATATATCACAAGCGTACAGTATCACTCTAACTCATGAGTGCTCTAAGTCCTTGCTAAAGCCTTCATCATGAAATCTTCACCCATAAAAGCAAATCTTCCCTTACCTCTAAATGTCAAATATCCCCAGGCCTTTCCATGTTCCATTTTCTGTAACAAAGCACATCACAACATTATAGTCCGTTCAAGATGAAGGGAGGAGGGAGTGTCTTATTTTGAGCGAAAGCTAAAAGTCAATGCATAGCTTTATCTACCACAGCTAACGTTGCGTTCCTCAGAGCTTGTTCAGGAAGGAGCAAGGATAGTCGGAGATGAGAGTGCTTTACAGCTAATGAAATCTTTAGCAAGTGTGATCAATAGTCAGAATTTTCCAAGGCTTCAATCCTAGGAACAGTGTGACTTTCAAATAAAAAAGCAGGAGGTGCTTGGGAGCATCTTTTGCGACTAATAACTTTTATGAACAGGCACAAGCCTGGAGATGATGGGAAGAACCAAGAAAACCTCTGCAAAATCAATGGAACCTGAGCGTGTTGAGCAGCTCAGAATCATGAGTGCGTGGGAAGATGGAAAATCAGGAAGGGGGATGAAAAAGGGCACAGCGCGCTGACCTCGAATGGACAGAGAATAGAGAAGTAAACCCAGAAGAGGGTTCAACAACATGGGAAACAATTGAGAGGGCACTGCTTTCCAATTTTTGAACACGTATTGATGAATAAAATTTGACTCTTGTTCAGCACCATCTATCTGACAATCAGGAGCCATTGCGGTGTGGTGGTGAAGATGTGGGACTGGCACTGAAGGCAGCCAGGTTCTAGTCCCCTCAGCTACAGAAGCTCCCTGGGGGACTTTGGATCAGCCACTCACTTTTGGCCCAACCGACTTCACAAGATGGTTGTGGGGGGTAACAGACAAGGGTACTGGGTCCATTACCTTGAACTTCTGTAGGAAAGACAGGATGCATATCTAATAAATCTGAGCTTATTTTGCATTTAAAACACTTCAAGGTCATACTCCACACTACTGATAAATTATTCCATTCTGCAGCAAAAAGGGGAGCTGGGAAGTCATTGTTGAACAAATTGTAGGAAGACAATTACAGGTGGCCCTCACTTAACGACCACTCATTCAGCGATGGTTCAAACTTACAACATTGCTGAATAAGTGATACTTACAACCGGTCCTTGTACTTACATCAGTAGCAATGTGCCTGTGGTCATGTAAGCACAATCTGGGCACTAGGCACCTGGCTCGCAATTACGACGTCATGTCCTGCAGTCACGTGATCTCTATTTGCGACCTTCTGTGCTGGCTTCCTACAAGGAAAGTCAATGGGGAAGCCAGCAGGAGGGCGACCATTTGATGTTCTCGCTTAACAACCTGCAGTGATTCGCTTAACGATGCCAACCGAAGTGCCGGAAATTCTGTTGCTAAGCAGCATGGTCACATGACATCACACTTTATGACCGTGTTGCTTAGTGATGGAAATTCTGGTCCCAATTACTGTTACTCAGTGAGGACTACCTGTGTAGTGGGAGGTTTGAATTTGCCCCTTTACCCAGCCAAAGAAAAACACTCACCTCAGCTGTATAATCCATCTTTACTTTAGTAATGACCCAATAACAAGGCTCATCGTATTCCCATATCCAGGATTTGCGTGTGACCATCCTCCCGATACCAAAGAGGCGCAACTGGGACAGCAGCATAAAGAGTCGGTTCTCATTCCTCACATCCTCCCAGGCCAGCACAGGGAGGCGCTTGCCTGTGAAGGAGCGGCTCATCGTCTCATAATCCACGGCGTAACGCTGGGAATCACGAGGTTGGTTTTTCAGAGCCCAATATTCACGGATTTTCTTGGCCCTGGCGGCAATTGGGCGGTACGCTTTATAACGAACCATCGCTGCCTATGGAATGATAACAGAGGATTGTTAGCAGTTCAAATACTAAGAAAAGATTTAGATTTAAATCTACAACCTGCCACAAAGTTGACCAGGGGACCGTCATCCAACCAAGCCTACCTTACAAAGAAGTTAGGAAGATGAAAGAGGACGCAGAAGACTATTGTGAATTCCCCTCAGGAAAGGTTAAAAAAAAACCACTCACCCACACGAAGCCTGTAGCTGATTTCATAAAGTAAACTTCACCTAATATATCAATGCTCCTGTTTTCTGGGTTTCTACAATGCTTTGAACTAAAACTAACCAAGTTTTGCAAATTGGGTTATAACAATCTGATGAAACTCAGTCACTCATTTTATTTTGGTCATTGACCAGCAAAACAAAACAAATGAGTCACAAACGATTAGAGTAAAACAAGCTATAAATCATGTAACCATACAAGTAAATTGGTAAGTTAAAGGTAAGAATTTGGGGTGTAAAAATTAATATAGTAAGGTCTGATACAATTTGTATAAGGCAAGTGAACAATTGTTTAGAAGAACAGAATAGTAAAATTACCAATCTAAAATATAGAGAACATGATGCAAACAAAGCCTCCTAAGAAAGATTGGAGACCTAAATACTGCAGCCTCTTTTCATTCCCTTCTCAGCAAATTTTCACCCTCTCTTCCTAAGGAATCTCCATTTCCTCTCCTCACCCCTCAAGCCCTAGGATGACAGATCAAGAATGATTATTGGTTTTTTAGTTGAAACATAGAGAATTCTAGTGAGTGCTACTTTATCCTCCTTGGATTATTCAGCCATAAGTAACACCTGCCAAAATTTACTCTTCTACAGAATTTTTTTTTTTTTTTTTTTAAACCCACAACCTGAGCCACCGTTCATATTTCTCATCTTAGGATCAAGTCTGATCTGCATCACAGAGAGAGCACTAGCCCATCTGTCTGAGTCAACCACACTTGGACTCATACAGACAGAGGGAGCCAAAATGATCAGGGGGTTGGAATAATTCCCTTTTAAAATCAGGTTACAGTATTTCGATCTTTCCAAAATGAAAATGGCATAGGCTAAATAAAGCTTTAATTTAATGAAGATATGCACAGCATGGAAATCACAAGATTGCATGACCACTCACATAACAGCTGGTCAATCAAGTTAATTTGCAGGAAGTCAAGGAAAAAACAAATACATATTCAGGCTTGTTGGGTCAGCCCAACATGTTAAACCCCGGTGAGCAAAACACAATGGCTGTGCTTGCCTGGCACACATCCCCTTAACAAGTGAACCATACAACAGCTCCATGGAAGATCTGGTCCAAGTTGCATGCCAGGCCAGCGGCTTGGCTTCTTGTAACATTGAGCCACAAGCTATCCAGCCTTCCTTCAGCCCAGTATGGTGCCTTCCTTCAACCAGCAAGAGGTGATTTGCCCACCTGGAAGCAAATGAGCCAAAGATCAAAGGGGAAAGGCATTCCCTCAGATCTGCTGCTTGGACCCAGTGATTCTTCATCCTCTCTCACCCAAGAAATTATTATAATTATTACAACCTGATCTTCCATTTTGGTGGTGCACTGTTTGGCTTTTTTTCTTCTTTGC